CCATCGTGACCCCTGAATGACCTTCAAAATGACCTTCCAAGGATTTTTCAAGGTCAGTACCATACTTCCCCCGTGTAACCCTAAACTTTTCATACGAAACATTTTTCTCTATCCCTACTAGTTTTCGAGATATTTGACTGGATCACTTCAGATGGTCCACCCTGTATATATAATATTGTATATATATATAATAGTAGACGTGTTTTAATACTCTCATTTTAATATGTTTACATATAAAGAGAGCAGAAGAAAACTGATTTATGAAAGAAAAAAATATATTTATTTCATTTATTTTTCAAACAATGTCTTCTTGAATGAGCAATTTCGCTTGCCTCTCACAATTCCAATCAATTTCAAAGCACCAGCAAAAAATTTTATTGTTGTTCTTAATAGCTAAGAGAAAACAGTTTAGAACACTTTACGTGGATCTTGTATATAATCGGTTGTAAAATTATTTGTATGTAGTTATATCTAAATATATAGATGCAAATATTTATATAATTTATTTAGCAAATAAATGGCAGCAAGACATGTATTTTATTAATTTAATGAAGTAGCTGCATTTTATAAAAATATTGGAAAATGTCTGATTAATCATATATTGCGTATGTAATAGGACACGACCTTTGAGAGCATAACTTTCACTACATTTGCAGGTAATAGATGTAATATTTGTTAATTACTTAATCTCTAGTTAGTCATTTACTTATTACCTGATATTCAATTTATAAGTCGTCATATGTAAACATAATTTATTTGAAGAAACAGGTTCGGCGCTTCTTTTCTATAAGAAAATTGAATGTAAATTTGATGTGTTAGACAAATCTACACGTCTATTTCTTATAATTTTATTTTATGTATCTTTTTTTTGAGTCATTTTATTTGTCGTTTTATCATTAATCAGTCATGACAATTAATATTTATGTACAAATATATTCATTTTTATTGTCAAATTAATTTTAAAATAAAAACCGTATTATTTATAAATTGAAAAATTGAAAATATTATTAAGATATCACAAAATATCAATGAAAGTAAATTAAGCATATTAATTATTAGGTTGCAATTATGAAAGAATGCGAATGTCGAGATCGTACAGAAAAATTTGCTAACTTGGCAATATTGAATTAAACCTAGTTTTCCGATGAATTCTCAAGCGATTCTTAAGTAAGTAAATCTTGAATAAGATTAGAGTATTTTAATCAATTTTATGAAGTTAATATAAAATTATAACTAGAATAACATACACACACTTGCGTGGTTCATAGCCATTTTATTTTTTCAAATTTTAATTCATTGAACCTTTATTATATTATATTTTATTAATATAAAATAAATATTAATATAAAAATGTTTTAA